ACTCCCGCGAAGGGAGCTCCAGATATATCTAGAGATATCTAGACGGGATCTATTCTTAAAATCTTTAAATCACCTGGAGCTTCTCTCATTCACCATCCTTTTGTTCCCACTGACTCTCGGCCTGGAAGGGCTCCCCACAGGAGATGTGAAGGACTTCGCCCTGCCGATCGAAAAACATCAGCATGGCATCCCCGTCGATCGGGAACAAAGTTCCAGTGTCTGTGAGAACAATGGCTGACACGTCAGGGCTGACTGTTCGACAAAATTCTGAAAATGAGTCGTAAAGAACAGCCTCTGTTTGTCCACAGATGTGTCGTCAGGGCTGCTTGTCCCTGCAACCTCATCCACAAGTCTTCTAAGCTACGGAGACGTCTGCCAGGTGCGTTCTGCCAGGCATGAGGGGTGGGCCACACACACAGAAAGGCAAATATACTTTGAAGGATGGAGATGGTGGCACTTTCTGTTTCAAGACTTTAAAGGACCAACTCTCTGGGGAATTTGATCTACAAGTAGGAAGTCTCACTTTGATCCCTTTACCCTCGGCTTTGCTCCTTTCCCAGCCTGGTCAACCTGATCCACATCTGTACATTCCACACCATTGGAGTGGAAAGCCTGGCAATGCTAGTAGCGGTGCTCCAAGCGTTCTTGTGTACCACTTCTGAAAAGTCCAAATGTAGCTGGGCGTATCTAGCTCAGTCAGACATCCATCCTGGATGGATACCTACTTTCAACATGATGTTTGAAAAAGGTCTCAAAAGCTTCATGTGTTGTCTTTTGACACATGTTGGACCCAGTTCAAATCTGCCCTTCTGCTCACGGGATGATACCTGCACAAAAGCTTCTCCTGAAGTCCTTGCTTGCATGAAGCTCCCAAAACACTCCCCTTTGTCGTTAGTCTAGCAAACCATGAGATGCCCAAGATGCCCAAAAGCCTATCTGACTTCCATCGTCCAAAAGGAGGACCAATCCAGTCCAAATCAATCTATCCATCTTAAGGCAGTAGCCACAAGGGACCATGTGCATTCCGTCTCATCAACTTGTCATCTACCCTACCCCAATACATACCAGCCACATCCACATTGCAACCATTCAAAGTGAGGGCAGCCGAAAGCAACAACTGTGATGCGGAAGACTGCGGAATACCTCAGCGCTTGCTAATCATGAGATTAAATCTCAGAAAAGCAAAAAGAAACAGGCGATCTTGTGCCTGCAGGATAAGAACAGGAGGTTTCGTGCGGTAACCGTATAGTACCTGTTGTGTTGCGCTTTTCAACCATGCCGCAAACTCGAGTCTTTGCCTTGGCTGCTGGAGTCTCCATGTCTAGAGCCTCACACCCAGGCAGAGAACGACATCACCATCAAGCATGGCACCGCCAAGACATCTTTCAAGATTGACCAAGCACCACTAGCATACCAGAATCCACATTACATAATACATGTAATACATGTCAATGTTCGATCCAAAGGAGCATGCTGCTGTGCATCGTGTTTTCACTCAAGCGATACTAGTTGAGCCTGCAAGAGATACTACCGTGCTCAACAACTTGGGCGTTCCATCTTTGTGGTCAAGCCAGCGTTGGATATCGTTGCCTTGGTGCACTTCTCGAGCAAACCTGCAATCTTCGTATGGGGTGGCAACCTCGCTGGAGACACCGGCGAGAGTGGATGACGGGTCTTCGTGTTAAAGCTCAAAGATGGGTGTTGTCATTTGTGAACCTCTGAGCCCATGTCAACTTTCAAACTTTCTTTGTAGCTTGCATAGAGAAATACAACGTGTTCACTGTATAGATCCTCGAGGCAAAACTGCCGCTGTTGTCGGCAGTTGTTTTTCAAACCCTTAAAAGTGGTCCTTGTCAAACAATCGTCTTCACAGTATCCCAAAAACAGACCCAACAACACAAGGCCTTTTGGATGGGCATTGAAACGTCTAAACTCTTTCACTCTTCAGTGGCCATGTTTCGGTCTCCTTGCGACGTACAGGTGGCGACGTCCATGTCGGATGTTCCATGATTCTTTTCACTCGTCGGCGAATGCTTCGAACACCAGTTCCACAGCCAACATCTAATTAAATGACGTACAAAGAAGTAGAAATCAGCTGAGGGAGGTTGCCATGCCTCAGAAACAGAGAGAAAGGGAGCAAGAAGGACTCTAAGGTCACCCCTCGCGGTCCGAGGCGATGACAAGACTTCCCTTAGGGCATCTGAGGTGCCATTCCTGGCGGATGTAACCCTTCGATCAGTGAGTCATAGTGAGTCATAAATCAGATTCTCTGGATTGGATCGATCGGTGTGTAGCTCAAGACATAGAAGAAACCGACACACCCGGCGTTCGGAACTTGCGACCGCCTGGAAGGTTCGGAAAATACAGGGCATCTCCCTATTACGTTCCACACCCATCTCTGTCTTACAAGATCGCCTGGAGTTCATGTGTTCATCGCTGTCGGAGGTTCCAAGCTTCGGACCGGTGGTGCCGAGACCAACCGAGACCGCACCGAACCAGCGGAGCGAATCCACTGAATGGGCATGGGGTGGCAGGAAGATTGAGGATGGGCTCCACCTCTGTCATGGCAATTTCACTTTGTTGTATTTGTGTGCGTTAATCCGCCGGCCTGCCGGCGTGTTTTGTGGATTGTTTTGGTTAGTATTGCTTGTGTTGGCTTCAATCTATGGTTTGTCTCTCCGCGCGGATTTTTCGACAGCCTGACGCCCCCCCCCCCCCCCCCCCCCCCAGGTAGTAGGTAGTAGGCAGCAGTAGTAGGTAGTAGGTAGGAGGTAGTAGGTAGTAGGTAGTAGGTAGTAGGTGGTACGTAGTAGGTAGTAGGTAGTAGGTCGCTGGATCGGAATAGACAACCATTGGACCGAGACATGTCGATCGCTGGATCAGAATAGACAACCTCTGATTCGGATTCGTTCCATTTCATTGTAAAACGACTTCGCTTGAAATCAACAGCAACAAACTCTCCCAGCAAAATGTGCAACTCCAATGCACCCACAAGCTCAATCAGGGTATTGTTGTTCGATGTCATTCTGGGTCTGTCACTTCAAACGGTTTGGAGAAAAAACGACAAATCATGCCAGATCTAGAAATTCTTCGGTCGCTTTGAAGCCTTCTGTGTATGAAAAAGAATATCTGGTGCGTGTCGCAATCCCTCGAGACGGTCGAAAAAAAAGATCTGAAAAGGAAAACATGCACACGGCCAAGTAGTTTGGAAGAAGAGTCGTTTTCAAGGTCATGTTTTGTGGATAGTCTTGGTTCGCATTGCTTGTGTTGGTTTCACTTGGTTCCTCTTAGGTGATTCGACTGAGACATGCCGGTTCGGATCGCTGGATCAGAATAGACAACCTCTGATTCGGATTCGTTCCATTTCATGGTCAAACAACCTTGAAATAAACATCAACAAACTCACCCAGCCAAATGTGCACCTCCAATGCACCAACAAGTATGATTGAGCAGGGTATTGTATCATTAAGCTGCCTACCAATGCGGGCTCGAGCTGGTGGCCGGCGGCATGCCGAAGGCTGTAAATATTTTTTTTGGGGGGGGGGTTGCGGTTGCGGCTGGGATGTTAACACATGTTAACACCACATCACCAGATCTCCTTCACCATTCCCCCGTCGTACTAACACGCGCGCACCTTCGAACGAAGATCTTAATGACGTCGACATCTGAGAAACTGGGCCGGAAGCTGCCGGAGGCTCGGTTGGGGACCCTAGTGGGTGCCTTGCAGCAATGAGACTTTAGTCTGCTGTGGATCCCGAAGATCCCGGTGAATCTGTGGATCCCAGTAGATCAACTGCATGGGTGTATTGTATGGAGCCTACGGCATGTTGTTCAAAGCCGTCAGACGATGTTGGGAGTGTTTAAGTCATCACCAAATCTCAACAAGCATTTCCAAGGCATGCGGCAGCCCAGGATTGAAAGGCTCTCTCTCTCTCTCTCTTGAAGACTCCAAGCAGCATGCATAGTTCATCCAAGCCACTCTACGTGAAAACTGTCAAAAGCGCCAAACATGGCTGTTGGCCCTGGCAACGAGGCTACAAGACATGCACAGGCTTGGAGACTGCAGCTGAGTTGACATCCAATCATGTAGCATTTGCTCCTCTCGTCCATTCCGATCCACCAAAGTTGGGGACAACACACTAGTGGATTCTGAGGGAGGCAAACATCTTGCGGGGCCCTGGCACGCCCTTGAATTCAAAGACGCTTGGATTCTTCTTTTCGACACACAGACTCCTTCACAGTTCACAAATCTCAGTCTGGCCTCCGAGAAGGCCTAAGAGCCGCTACGCCATGGACCCTGATCGACAGGACCCCGTACGGGCGGTGGGATGACTGGCACAAGTCTCAACTTTGGTTCGTGAAGTGCGAAAAGTGTTTGGGAATCCGGGAAAGCGTGAGATGCTAGCATCTGTTAGCCTGCAGGCACAGATCTCCAAGATCCTACTCTCCCAGCGTCCAACCTTTCAAGATTTTAGGGCCTGAAGAGGCCAGCAGTAGCGTCCGATCGCTCCTAGTAGCGATGCCCTTTGTTCCTACTATTAGCGTTCTTGCTCCTAGTAGTAAGGCCAGCAGCCCCGTTCGTAGCGTCCGATCGCTCCTGCCTTAACGAAATGGTCCCAGTCCCAGTCCGGACGAACCGAAAACGTCCACCGGTTGAAACCGGTGTCGACCAGCCTCTCTCCACCCGTTCGCTTCGGCCCGCGCGGCCCCGCTGCGAGCCAGTGCAGACATGGCACAGGAGTGCGGAGATGGGGTGTCGACATGTGGAAAAACGTACAGATTTGACTGCGCACATCAATTGGAAAGAATTACTTTCCCCTCTCATCTCAACACATCACACATCATGAAAAATCATGAAACATGATGGGTTTTGTAGTTGGATAGATGTTCGGAGCAGTCTCACTGACCATTGGTGACCATTGCCTTTTTCGGAAAGACGTCCCAAGGGCCCCCGTCACCGAACACCGAACCCAAATCGACGCGCAGCCGGCGCGGAGACTTTTCGGTGCTTCACCGGAGAGGTCCTCGCACCAGAGAGGACGAGATCCACCGTGGGAGGTCGTTGATCCAGATGATCGGCGGTTGCCTCAGCTTGTCCCCATTGCCTCAGCAAAACTACTTGGGACGAAGCACAGGCAAGCCATGCACAGAAAAATCATGGTGCGGAAAATGATCTCCTCTGTCCACCCCCCTAGCCGCTCTAGCCTCGTCCACCGACATTCCGAAGTCGCTCTGAGTGGTCGATTTCTGGGCAACCTGGCCTTGTCCAGGTCATTCCAGGTCGTCAAGCAGGTCGCTGGAAAGTGCCTTGAACCCAAACCTCAGTCTGGAACAGGAACCTCCAGTTGACTGGAAGGACAGGAACTCAACAGCAAATTAAACTATGTTGGTTTAGGATATTTTAGGATGGTTTAGGTTTCTATTGTATGGATTCACATTAACATAGATGAACAATGTGTTCCGAAAGGATTAATTCAGTTTGTTTGTCGCTCGAATGTTGCCGGCGTTCGCCACAATCCTATATCACAAAAGAAGTGGCTCCAAACAGTTTTTTGTGACTAGAGTTGTGTGCCAAGCCACCTTTACTCTAAACCTATGAGTATGAGTAGTAGAAGGCCGAGGCAGGCACATCTTGACAATATGCTTCAAACGTTGTGAATCACCTGATATAAAAACCAGGGCGCCATCAATACCTGGCTCTTCGCCACAAAAATCCGTAAATGCCCTCAGCTTCACGGCCAACAGCTGTAGCAGCGTTTCAGTTTTGAAATCCGCCGACCTGTCTCGACGATGCCAAGGAAGATTCATCAGATTCATCTCAGGAAGCTTCGATCTATAAACCCATCTGTTCAAACACCGGCAAGTCAACTCAGTCTCCGACGCGAGGCATCACAACCTCGGTTTCAAATGAATGCTTCTGTTTGGCGCATCGGTTCAAAGGCGCAAGGCGCAGGGTCATCGAGATTGGCCTCCGTAGGCTTCGCTCAAGCTACAATGGAGCAACAAATGGCTGCCAAATGGATGGCTAAGTGACCAGTGGGGATTACAAGATTCTCTACCAGGTTTTGACCATATAGCTTATTTGTTCTTCCAGTGATGTCCCCATGGATCCCACTACCCCTTTCCTGTGCGCGCCCGGCGCCGGTGCCACGGTTGACCACCTCGTTGCGTTTGTACTCGCAGCTGAGCCTCAGCCGTCCGGCCCGCATGGCATGGGCCACCCTCTTGCTCCATGGAGAAGAATGAGAATCCACTGATGAACATGTCCTGGTGGAGTCTTCTATTCAAATGGCCCGGAACCCAAAAGTGCGGAACCTTGAAATCCCTTCAGGTGGATACAATCCTCATCCAACGGGCACGGATTGCTTTTCTTTCCGCTTCTCGCTTGCGCTTGGGCTGCACGAAGAGGGCCTCCAGAAGCAGCGCGACGCATTGAAGAAACGTCCGGAATTCGGAGCCAAGCACGTCATCGCTGGAAGTTCTCCGCCGCACCGCGCCGTCGTCGTCGCTCGGTGGACCGTCCGCACCTCACGGTCGCACCGTGCCGAAGAAAGAAGCCCTTCAAGAGCCGGCGAACCTGCAAGACCGGTGTGTTTTCACCAACGAAGACAAGGAGTCAAGGAGCGTCCAATTTCTGACCGGTTCGGCAGAACTAGAAACAACATGTATAAAAAGGCTCAAGAAGCAAAATCTCAGAAGCCTGCAAGCATCTCTCTTAGTGAGTGGTCTCGTGCAGCCATAAAGTAGCCCGTGCTTGATGCCTGGAGTCTTAACTCGATCCTGATCCCTCAGCGCCTTCGGAGCATCCTCGGCCCGTGGATGCGTGAAAGGGCCCTGACAGGCACCGGCCGTCAGAAACTCCAACGTGGGAAGGGCACGACGCCAAGCGAAAGAACAGGCTGTGGAAGTACGATGTGTTCGCGCGTGGCACATCACCAAGCAAAACAATCGCCACATCCAGACCTGACAGTCGCAAGATCCCTGTCGTGCCCAAGTGGCACAAAGCTTGCCCAGGCCGTTCTCACGGCCTGCAGAAATGGTGCGAGTTATGGAAATGGGCTCATTCCTTTGCGGCAAGAATAGGAGCGTTTTGCCAGATTCACGACATCCCCTTTGGTTCTGCATGCCCGGGCATAGTGGTCTAGAGAATCTCAGAATCAGCTTTAGTCTTCTGGTTCCCTGGCTCACTCACAAAGCACATTCTGCTTCTTCTACTACTTCCGTGCATGTCTTTACGCGGCACCTGGATTGGCAAAGTCAAATGTTTGTCTATCAAACCACTTAATGATCCAATGAAGGACCCGCAGAAGATCTTTCTACTTTGATCAGTGCCGGTTATGCGCACTGAATATGAAAGTAGCCCCATGTACGGCCGCCAATATCCACAGACACGAAGCCAATGATCCAAGTCACAGAACTCGTTGAAGGCCTCACAGTACACAGAAGTACAATCGATAAAAACCATCGCAAAGCATTGCAAGAAAAGTCGGACTGGTCACCTTGTTGACTGCTGCATTGCATTGTCACCAGCCACCCACCACAAGGACAAGAGTTTGAACAAACTCCATTCACAGCACATCAAGACAAATCACGGATCCCACAACCGAACCACCCCGTTATACAAATATACCCATATCACTTCTGCCATACATCCGCGGACCACATTGCGACGTTGAAGATCAGCAACATCACCAAGCATCACGCGACTCGGCCACGCATCAACACACTAACTGATTAACTTCCTCCCATCCCCCACACCTCGCCAGCATTCAAACAACTTGTTGCGGATCAGAAGCCTGTTGTGGAAACCCAGTCCCCATTCGTCTCCAAACAGCATCACTCGGAAAAAGTCGCTCTCAAACATCGCCTCATCCCATTCCGCTCGCAGCATCGGATATTCCCGGATGGATCAAGCCCAAACAGCCCCGCTCTCGGATCGGCCTTCCGCTCGAGTGCCTCGGGGGCGGCTTTGGCCACTCCCCGCAAGCGAGCAGGCAGCTCATCTCTGCTGGTGCAAAGAACACAGCCAGGAGGTGCCTCAACAGGTGGAAGCGGACGAGGAAGTGGAAACTCCCTAGAAGTGAAAACAATCTCCCAAAGCACCAAGGAAAAGGGTCGAGGAAATCAACGCCGCTGGATCCATTGGCTGCAGCTTGCTATGGCCCAACTCCCTGCCTCCACCCGCGGCAGGGCCGTCAGCACCCACAGGGTCACGTAGGGTGCCACATATTTCCTGCGGACCAACCCGCACCGCGGCGCGAAATATCACGCGAGGCGTCACACGCGAGGCGTCACACGCGAGGCGTCACATGCGAGGCGTCACACGCGAGGCGTCACACGCGAGGCGTCACACGCGAG